CCCCCAAGAGGAGTCAGCCCACTGCTTACATCAGGGCTACTGAGAGAAGTACTGAGGCAGGGTGCGGTGATGTTTTCAGGAAGCTATTATACAGCAACCTGCTGACCCTCCAACCGAAACATGATTTACCTGCATTGCATAGCGAAGCACAGAAACTCAGTGATGACATCACTGGACATGAAATAAATTACATAATGAAACGGAAAGCCTTTATTAAAAAAAAAATAATAATAATTAGCATGTTGGAGGGAGAAAGGAAACAGGAAGGCAAAATATAAGCAGACTAAGCTTCAACTTTAAAGTGGAACTCCAGAAAAAAGTCTGACATTTGCTATGTACCAATAAATTACCTCTGATGGGCACCCAATGCGTGGATGGTGCAGTGTTGGGTAAAACAGTTTCATTCATCCCCACAACTTCTCTAAGTGCTGAACTTATGGCACTGTAAATCAGTCAAGAAGAGCATCGCTCACTCTCCCCCTTTCTCCTAAGGGATGGTTCACACCAATTACAGTGCGTTCCAGCACAGTTAGCTGCTGGAACACACTGTATCACATACTTATCTCCCCCCTGCATTCTGGGGCGGGGGCTAGTGGTTCAAGTCAATGGCCCCTCAGTCACACCCCCCACCCGCAGTGTGGCTGCCGGCATCAGAATGTGTGGCACAACAATGCCTGCATTCCATTTTGCGATTGCACTGGACTGGACTTTGTTTTGCTTGCCTGATTTGGTGCAGTGACACACTGGGGGTCTAAGCTGCCGTTGTGATGTGCGGGGTCCCTTGTGTGTCCCTGTGCCTTTAAGGAGGTTGGGCTACCTCCTGGCAAACCTGCAACCAATTTTATATTTTGCTACATGTGCTCCAAGATGGAGACTCATAGGTTAGAGTTAGGACCGCACTACATAGAGGTGCCTTGGCGCAGTTGTGCGGCTTTCACATTTTCTGCAGAAGACGTGCATCTAAACCTCTGTTTTTAACCTTAGCGGTGAGACAAGTTTTTTTTGCATGCTGGCTGGTGAGTGTGCTGGGAAACTTTTTGCTGTTGTACTGGACTGGAACACAGGCCATTGCTGTACCACACGTTCTGGTGCAGGGGATCGCACTGCGGGTGGGGGGTGTGACTGAGGGGCCATTGACTTGAACCACTAGCCCCCGCCCCAGAATGCAGGGGGGAGATCTCTGAGATGGCAAGTGGAAAAGGGGCAGGTGAGGTAACAAGAGAAGAGGGGGATGACAATGAGAGGGGAGCAACAAGGAGGCGGGCAATCAGGACCTCCCCTTTAACCTCTTCATGACGGGACAATCCCGTCATGAATCTTGAAGGGTTTAAACAGACTCCCGGCGGCTAATCTTTACAGATTTATAGAGCCGGCTTTACAGTAGAAGCGATTCTGGGAGGCTGAACCTCCGCGTCTCGGGTGTCGGAGGGAAGCGGCAAACGTCCGTTCACCGATCTCCCTGTTCTACGGGACCGGGAGCGACGTGTATTGCATCACTTCCGGTCCCTGAGCTGTCATTGTTGGGCTCCTGAAGCCGAGTAATAAGCGATTGAAGTGTGATCTGCACTTCAATGGCTTATTTACAGTGTAGAGGTGATACTAGGGGTCTTTGGACACACCCACCGTATCCCCTTAAAGAGGACCTGCCACCGCCAATATGCTATTACATGAGGAGCTTGTGAGCCCCCATATGTGAAAGCAATTAAAAGTGTTTTTAAAAGTTTTAAAATATTAAATGTAAAAAAAAAAAAAAAAAAGATGTCCCCACCTGCGTCACAAACACGCGAGGGGTGCACCTATGTCCAAAAACGACGATTGCGCTACACGTTAGGTATCGCCACACTGGCCAGAGTGAGAGCAATAATTCTAGGGCCAGTATTTATGCATCTGCCACCATTTTATTCTACGTGGTCTTGGCTTTCAGAAAACATATGTTTGGGGATTTTAAGTAATTTTCAGGCCTAAAATGTGGATTATAACAGGTAAAAAAAAAAAAATTTTAAAAAGGCCTCCGTCTTTGAGACCCCATTCACACTAGGGCGGTTGCATATCAGCGCGGATTTTAAAAAAGTAGTTTTGGGTGTTTTTAATAACGTTTCAGCGCTGATACGCAATTTAAAAAACGCCCAAAACCGCGAGGCTCCATTGAAAGCAGTATGGAAACCACGCTGATTAGCGCGGCAAAAAAGGGTGAGGGAGCAATTTGGGGCGGAAGACAGTTCGGATTGTGTGGAGCCACGCGGTCGCAGGAACGGTCTCCATAGCGATGTATGGGATCGTTCATGGCGGATCCGTGAGGCCGAACCACCCTGGTGTGAACGGGGCCTGAGGGGTTAATCACAGGACAAGGGTATAGGAAGGAGGGCAAAAGGGGCAGGCATCTGCATATAGAACATTCTGCTTATTGTGTAACTAGTCTCATCAATGTACTATATAATGGAGATAAACAAAGGCAGACATGCTTGAAGTCCAGTCTGTAGGACAATCTTGGCTCCTTCCATAAATACAGTGAGGAAATAATCATAGCCACAAAGGGCCAGGGGGAGGGCAAACATCTAGGCTTTCCCTTTAATTGTACGGCAAGGCACCGGTGATGAGGGGGGCGGGAATACAAGGGAGCAAGGGGGGCAGCGGCAGCTGCTAGACCCATCCCTGCAGCCTCAGTTCCCCTTCACTCCAGCGATGGAATGTCCCTCTGTGTCCTCATGTCCAATACACTGAATTGGACATGACTCTGTTTATGAGACCGCCAGAGCGGAGAGAGGCTGCAGGGACAGATCTAACAACTAGGCAGGATCCAGGGTCAGGTGAGTACAACTTACTTTAGAACCTAAACAACTTAACCCAGGGGTAGCACGCCGCAAGAGTTAAGATTTCTTCTGCCCAGAGTTCTTATAAACTTTGTGACTTGATCCCAAAGCACCACATGCTAGTAATTTTATCCTCCAACTATAGTCCAAATTTAACTACCCCCCCATGTCCCCATTCCACTCAGACACACAGTGTACATATGTACACTGGGAGGGTGTAAAAGACAGCACCTCACATAAGCGCCGATATAAACTACAGTCAGGACTAGATTGGAATGAATGTGCCCCCTGTGAGCGGTTGTCACAATAAGACGTTACTGCATCCGCAGGGTGCTTTACCAGGCGTTAAGATGAGACATTTTAATTATGCCAAAGCAAACAACTGAGCAGAGCTTTCCTCAGGCTGGCACCTCGCCAGTGGACCTGCTCAGGAACGGAGCCCCGCAATGAGGCAGAGCACGTGCCGTCTCCCGCGCGAAGACATGCTAAGGGCGGCGTCGTGACCCCGCAGCATGCCTGCACGTGCACCACCTTGGTCCTACAAAAAGCAATGGATGCAGCACTACCCACATACGAGTCTACTGCAGCTCCGCCATGCATGCATCCCTCCCCGTCACTCACATGTCTAGGTTGCCGTCTCGGCATCCGGGTGATATGAACTGAACCTTCAGCAGGTGAGGCGCTAGGCACGTTCCAGCCAGACAGCTGCTTCGAGCCGCCCGCCTCCTCCACACGGAATACAATCACAGAGGCCGCTAGCGCGTTGCCGCTACCCGCGAGGGCATGATATAGCTTCCACCGGTGACGTCACTGAGGCGGAGCCATGGAGCGTTAACCCTGGCAGGGGAAGGAAGCACGGACCGTGGCCAGTCACAGGCGGAGGTGATTGCTCCGCGTAGCGGCGGCAGAGCGGAAGTCGCTTCCGAGCTTGTGCTGGTTCCATAGAGCAGAGCGAACACGGCAAGTATGAGCTACAGCCGAGTAGGGGGAATACATACACATCACGTCAGAGCAGCAGCAACCAGAATTCAGATTTGATCTTTTAAAGGGATAGAAGTAGCAAAAAGGCTCATCATACGCCGATTGTACAGTCTCCTTTATTACTGTGTAGTGCAAGGATCGGCCTGATTGCATAGATTAGGTAGGTCCTTATATTACATAGTTTTTTGGGTATATCTCAAATTGATCGTATGGTTAGATGGCAACGTGTATGGTGACATTAAGGATCATCACATGTAATACAATCGCCATACAATCAAGTTTAAATCTACCCAAACTATTTCATATAAGGACCTGCCAAAACTATCCAATCAATTTGTATCTGATCATTCAGGCACTACATACTTGTTGGCAGATTGTTCATTTTAGATTTGAATGTGTGTATGGTAAGCTTACAGGTCATCATGCATGTTACAATCAGCCTGTACACTCTTTGTACCATCAACTTTAGATTTATCAAAAATCTGAAGTAACCTGACCTATCTAAGCTATCCAATCAGTTTGTATATCATCACTCAGGCCCTTGAACTATATTCTTGTTGGTAGATCTAAAGCCGATTGTACATTTAGATTTTAACATGCGTGGTAAGCTTCAGAGTCCCCATACAGATGATTGTCTGACCATACAATGAACGTTTGATCTATCAAAACGGTGTGATATTTGGACCAATCTAATTTGTCCGATCAATTTGTATCTGATCAGCTAGATCCCTATATCACATAGTTGTCGGTAGATCTAAAGTAAATTGCATGGTGAGTTTAAGGCTGACCATACACTATACTATGATTGCACAATCCCCTCTAGATCTCCTATCAACTATATAGTGCAAGGGTCTGAATGATTTGATACTAATTGAATTTTAAAATTGCATTCAAGTACCTTAACAATGCTGTATCTTATTTGTGTATCAATCAGCTGTAGATCCTCAAATCATCTCTGAATTGGTGCTGACACTGTACTTCATTCTGGAGGCCTGTTCACATGATTTTCAGGTCCGGATCAGGTGTGGAACTGGAGACGTGGTGCTATGTGTTTTGGCCGCGTTTTTGATGCTTTCCAGTAAAAAAATAAATATATGTATTTTTTTTTTTTTGCTGGAGTGGGGCTGTCAGTATGTTAGCTGCAGTGCAGTGCGTTTATGATGCGTTTTGCGTTTCCGGACCGTTTCCTGACCGTACAAAATGTGACATGCAGTATTTTTTCTGTCATAACCTGAACGGTAGCCCATAAAAGACGTAGGGATACATTGGGATGCATTTTTAGTGCAGGAGCGTACGGATCAGGTCAGCACAGAAAACGGACGTTGTGTGAACAGGCCCTGGATTGTGGCTACTTTAGTTCCCCATGGTCCCTGTGTGTGTTGTAAAGTAGCCAACGCTCCAAACTCACTCCCATAATGGACTACAATCTCAATACAAATTAGTAAACTAAATGTGATATATAGTCCATCACAGGAGTGAGCTTAAAACGGTGTATGGCCAGCTTTATGTGTAGTTTACTCATTTGTATTGAGCTTGCAGTCCATCACAGCAGTGAGCTTGAGTGTATGGCCAGCTTTATGTGTAGTTTACTAATTTATGCTCAGATTGTAGTCTTTCACAGGAGCAAGCTTGAAATGGTATATGGCCAGCTTCATGTGTAGTTTACTAGTGTAATTTGTGCTGAGATTAAAGTCTATCATGGGAGTGATCTTGGAGGGTGGCTACTTTAAAACACACACGGGGACCATGGGGAACAAAAGTAGCCACCCTCCAGAAGGAAGGACAGTCTCAGTATGATTTCAAAGATGATTTGAGGATCTACAGCCGAATGATACACAAATAAGATACATTTGTGTTAATAAAGTACCCCAATGCATCTTTAGGTTTTAACTGCTGAATTTAGTGTCACGTTAAGTTCTATCCTTATATTGCATCATGATGGTAACTCCTAAAGAGAATGTACAATAAGACTGTATAGTGTGGCCAGTGTAAGCCAGTTGCAGCTTGGGATGTGCTTGTTACCAATATAACTGGAGACACAACAAGGAGTCAAAGCTGCCCTGTTAGACCCCACTCACCACCTAAATTAGAGCAGCTGCTTCCTCTGCCCTAGGCTTCATCACAGGTACACAGCTGCAAAGCATTGCACTAGCCGGACAGCCTGTTAAAGCCTGTGAGCTGCTGGCCGGATCGTGTAATAAAATCCATACACACAGCATTGTGCCTAATAGACCCGACAGCCCGACAAGGCGCGTGTTCAATACAAAGGAAATGCACGATCCAACTTCATGACACAACCTTGTGCCATCAGAACAGCCTTTGCTGTAGTATGCACTCATTAATGACAAGTCAAGCTGAATTATTCCGGAACCTCTGTGTATTGATATTGGACATAACGTTACAGCCGACCCACACCTCGCTGTCTACATTGCGGCGACAATCAGGGTTGGTGCCCAGCGCTATAGCTGCCATGTAGCGCTAATTTCAACGGGCTGCCGCCTTTCCTTTTAAACATCCAGCCTTTATCTAGCCAGAAAAAAAAAATCTAGTTAATGCAATTATCTGGTAAGCTTCCTATAGCTGCAGTAATCCTCTAATTCCATGTCTAATCAGATCAAAGCGAAACTAGCCGATTACAGGATACAGCGTGCGCTATGCCATGGCTAACCATTATACTGAGCAGGACTCTTCCTGCGGCTCATGGTACATACTACTTTCATCCAAGGCTTTCTAGTAACAGCCTTTAACCCATTATGTGCCCCCCCCCCCCAAATAGGCTCTTGCTATACAAAGGGTTAAACTGGCACAGTCACATCAGCCTTGCAATGCCAACTCCCAAGCGCCATAAGAAAAGGTGAGAAATGTCCAAACTTACCTTTTGTGAGAATCAGCTTCCAAAGGATGCGGTCTTCCCCCAAATGGATGGAAAGATGGCCAATGTCGGTATTACTAGTAATTGAAGCTACAGCCCCCCAGTTAAAACTCAGTGCCCCGAAATGGCATAAAGACAGAGGCTAAAGAATAAAAATAAAAAAAAGATCTATGAACTGAAAGAGAACAGCTTTCTTCCTATAGTGCTTGATGCTAAACTAAACTAAGCCGAGGCAAAACAAAGAAAAGGGGATGGGTGCAAAGCCAATGTGAAGCAGCGCTGCAGACACCTGCCATAAGACTGGCGCTGCCGTTAGCCGGGTGATCAGCTCCCGTCGGCGGGTCTCGGCCACGCCCACAATGGAACGCATAGCCAGCATGAGCTGCGGAGGGGGGAGCAGTAGGGGGCGTATGTCCAGTCCATCCTGTTAGCCCTTGAAGGATTTGGAAGGGCCACGGATGCTTTTTAACCATTGATAATTACCTCTGTATAAAGCTGTATTTGAAGAGAGGGAGAGGGATGCGCCGTTTTCTTGTATTCGGAGATAACGCCGACCGCCAAGGTCCTATCAAGGTCACAATGAACCGGTGAGCGTAACGTTGCAGAGATTCAGCGAGCGCCGTAAACCACTGCTGAGCAAGACTGGCATAGGAAAGGACGATTGCCACAATCTCTGTGATCGTGGTAATATGTCAGTGCCAGTGTCTAGCATAGGCGAGGAGTAGGATGGGCATCTCACAGCCAGTGTAGGGTGATGGAGAAAAGAGGCATGATGCTGCGCTGGATAGGGTTCTTTATCCTAATCAAAGCATGTCAGCTCTTTTCATCACTGCATCCTTCTAGAAGGGGCGTAGTTCACCTCAATGTCACAAGAGAGCATCCATACAATGTGCAAACTTCTCGTAAAACAAATCAGTTCAGTCTGAGAAAGGATGGGGTCTTGTCTGAGAAGGGATGGGGTCTTGTCTGCCTATGTGTTGGAGGTGGATATCATTAGATTTTGGGGTTGATTTAGTAAAAAGGCAAGGGAATGCTCCCTTAGATTTGTAATTAGGTGTACATTAAAAAAAATACCCAATCATGTACAACACAAATGAGAGTATTATGCTTGCACATGATTGGATGAAAGAGTCATGCAAGTGACACCTGAATGTCTCGAGAGCATCATACAATGTACAAACTTCTCTTAAAACAAATCAGGTCAGTCTGAGAAAGGATGGGATCTTGTCTGCCTATGTGTTGGTGGTGGATATCATTAGATTTTGGGGTTGATTTAGTTATAAAGACAAGGCAATGCTCCCTTAGAGTTGTAAATTTGTAAAGAATACCCAATCATGTACAACAAAAATAAAATATTATGCTTGCACATGATTGGATGAGGAAGTCATCCAAGTGACACCTCAATGTCTCAAGAGAGCACCATACAATGTAAAAACTTCTGTTAAAACAAATCAGTTCAGTCTGATAAGGGATGGGGTCTTGTCTGCCTAAGTGTTAGTGATGGGTAACAGGAGATATTGGGGTTGATTAATTAAAAGGCTTATAGGCAAGGGAAGTCTACCTTAGCTTGGTAATTTGGTGTACTTTTACAAACAATACATAATCATGTGCACTAAAAATTAAAAAAAGAGTATTATGTTGCACATGTTTGGATGATGGAAGTCACCTAATTCACTAAGCATAGCGAGAATCCCATTGCAAAGTGATCAACCCATTGCTTTTAGTACACCAGCCCTATTGATGGGATAACAAGCAGGGTGTATTATTATCTGATATTATTGAATATCCGTGTCTTCTTACAAGAGGTGTTTGCACATAAATGGATCTGCCCACGATAACATCGTAC